GTGTTTCTGGCTTCCATTTTGCCTTTTTTTCTTAGCTACTTTTAGATTTTTGAACTTTGTTTTCGGGCAGGTGTTCCCCTTTTGATTTCAAATTGATTATTGAAAGTATGCATGTGCCTTTGTTGTGTTAAAGTGTTATTTTCCACCTTGAAGGCTTTTCTATTATTTGCCTGAAAATTGAGGCGAGGGCAGAACTTGGAGCCATAGTCTCCGTAAGTCTCCTATTAGACCAGTCAGTTTAGTGTTTTTGATGATTTTGTTGTTTTTCCCCCCATATTTTTCTCCTTTTCAGGAATCTTATATAGGTACATTTTTCTCTATTATTATTATTTTGGTATTCTATGTGAATGGCAGCCCCTGAATTATATTTGCAGTGCCTGTATTATATATTTTATTAACTGTAATGTGAATGATTCTCTCTGGAATTGTGTAATTCAGGACACCCTGCTCTAAGCCACTGTTTCCCCCAAAGTAATATTAACTTAGCAGAGAAATTCCCTTCTGAAGTGGGATTCGTTTTAACACTCTCACAGTGGTGCATGAACACATCATTACCTCAGTATCTTACTTTTACCAGACAAATAAACAACTGGAATGTAGGTTCTAGAAGCCTGAGTGATATTGGGATAGGTGGGAATGGTCAGTAGCATGCTACTGGATGCAAGAATGACCTGAAAGGGTTGGAGAGCCAAACTGAGCATCCATACGTTGGTGCCAGCATAGAAAAGCTTGGTAGAGAGACAAAGAAGCACAGATTGTTGGACTTCATAGGTCTGAACAGAACAAATGAATGCCAATTGCAGGAAAGAAGATGGCTTAGAAAGGTTCCTTGAGACTCTTACTGAGATAAGGAAGTGTGATCCTTGTGGAAATGGGCGATGTTAAATGGTTCTGAGCTGGTTTGGTCATGTTACATTGTGCTTTAAATGTTTGGCCACAGTAGTATTTGAAGCTTGGTGTTTTGAACAAAATAGACTGGAAGTTAAAAACAATGTAAGGCACAGGCCTTTTTCTCACCTCTTTGTGGTCAGTTGCTGTCAGTAAGTATTGATGTTTTGGTGGCCTAGGTACACATGGGAACTTTGGGCTGTTGGCTCCAGCGGCAGCAGCCAACACTTGGCGTTTACTTCCTGCCACCCCAAGTTGGGCTTCTGCCAGCCTATGCTGGCTAGTTCATTGAAGCCATATTGAAGGCACCACAGGAGATGAATTGGCACGTTGAGAGTACCTACCAGAATGGTATGGGACAGTTCAATCCTGGGTTACAAAATATAATAAACCCTGAAAAAACCTACTAAAAAGCTGTTAATATTTTGATATCAGCAGGAAAAGCCTACAGTGATAGAGTGGCCAAGATTGCGAATATTACCACCAGGTTGTGTTGACTGTGAGGCATGTTGTCATAAGAGATTTTAAGTACATACAAGAAAAGAAATTCACTGACAGCCTTGGTAAAAACTTCATTAGAAAAAACCAATACCAAACAGAACATAGGAATATGCTTTTTTATTTTTTTAATCTCAAGCTGAGTTGAAGATCAAAAAGAAAGAGTCAAGGAAGATGAAATG